CTAGATGATCTGTAAGGTCCATTCCAATCCCTAAAATTCTGTGATTCTATGATTGTATATTTGAAGTGCTTTGTGATGTATTTGCATGCTGGCTGCTCTTCAGACAGTAGTGGTAGCATCACAGGTGATGGGACTAGGGCTCTGGCAGTGATTGCCATAGAAAGTTCTCATCCTTTTTCCTTTTTACTTGTCCCTTCAGTTATGCTGATTGTAAAGCTGTGCTGTAAAATGGTTCCTGTGTTGTTTTACTGAAGATTTGGTATGAGATTTTTTTTGTTTGTTCTTTTTTTGTGTGTTTTTGTTTTGTTTTTTTTTTTTAATCCAGGTTAATTTCTTGACCTGATTCACAGTGCTGCCTTTCTGAACAGTGATGACAGCATAAGTAAAAGGGCAGTATTTTTTGGTATAGGTTGTGGTAGGAGTGAGGAAGGGGAGGGAACTTCTTTTGCCCATCCCTGTATGAAAACCCTGTAATGTCAGGTCACAGCGTGGCAAGTGGAAAATCATAGATTAAAAGAGGTCTTTCCTCTTGTGTTCGGAAATTGTTTCCCAAGAGCACTTTGCTTAGTGGTCAAAAGAGTATCGTGTTCAGTTGGTAGCTCTGATATTTGAAACTTTTTGGGTGCCCAGAGCACAGAGAGAATTCAGGTACATCTTGGGGCCACTGGCTGCAAATTTGTGAAAACACTTCATGGTGCTTAAATTTTTAAAGTTTTTTTTTTTTTTTGAGCAATTTCCCACTTACAGTACTTGCTGTTAATTTTAAAACTTCTTCATAAACCCACTTGTGCTGTACTTGAACCAGAAGATCTCTTTCTCTTCTGTTTCTTGGTAACATAATGTTTTGGTAGTCTTTGCTTAAGCCTGGAGATTAGGCAGTTGTCAGTTTTTGTTTTGGCTGTCTCAATATCTGTTTCCTAGGGACAAAGTCATCCTGCAGATGGTTACTCCATTTCCATCACCTAACCCTGCAGCATCCATTTAGTCTTACTCAGAAAGTGCTGTACAGTTCTGTTTCTGATTATTTTTTCCCCAGTGTGGGGAACGTGCCTTCTTAAACCTTGCCTGAGATGTTTTCATACAAATCTTTTTTCTTATTACAGCCTTACATTCTGTCCCCAGACACTGTATTGCCTACAGTGCTCTGGATCAGGAAGATTAGCTGGCTGCTCCTGTAATTTTTGTCAATTCTGTTTCTTAGTTAGCTACCTGAGGAAGTTAAATAAGTTGAGATACTATGCTACCTCACAGTTGATGAGCAGGCACTGGCTCTCACAATATCATTATCTCTTCTTACTCTCTTCTTTTTTCTTTTCTTCCTTTTCTCTCCCTCCCTTCATCCATCCACCCTGTAAGGACAAAATTTACAAGTACTTCTTCTGAAATATTTAATCGCAAAAAAGAATATCTTAAAAATGCTGAGCACTGGAGTGTTTGTGCTGCCCTTGCTTGTGTCCATTTGATCACTCACTGAAATAAAACCGAAAAGATGAAGGAAAGTGGTCTGGTAACTGTTGCCTTTTTTAAATCAGTTAATTCTCCCTTTCTTTCCTGGGGACATAACTCAACATCCAGGGGAACGAGTATATTTTTAGACTTCAGAGGAGATGTTTGCCAAGAGTTTAGGAAAAAGAAGGGTTGATATTATGATCTGCTGAAAACTGCTTTTGTGCTCTCTTTCACAGATTCATCCCTGATATATACTACTTACTATATGACTGTATTTCTCTTTTAACATTTAAATGAAACATTACATACCTGTCAGACCTTAGGCTTTTGAGCAAATGCTGAAAGCAAAAGTATCATAGCTCCAAACTAACAGCAATACTTACCATTTCTGGAATGGTTCAAATTCCTGAAAGAGCTGCCTTATATGGAGGAATTTTAATATGGTTATGCTTGATGTTTTTGTTCATAGTGTTTGAATAAATTTATAGATGAGTCATTGAAATTTCTCTTTGTTCTGCTGTGTTCTCTTTGTCTGCCAAGGAAGCAGGTGGATATTCCCACTCAGCAAAATGGAAATAATCTGAAATATGGAGTGGTGCTCTGAACAACTTAAGGTTAATTTGTAAATCAGTAATTTGAGTCCTTAAGATGTGCTTTCTATTCGTTACTTTATGATAAAATTACAGCTAACTTATTTCTGTTCAAACAGTTAAGTTTCAACACTCAGCAATTACATCCAGGTGTTTATTTTCCCTGCTGGATGCTTTAAAGTAGATCTTGGGAATCTGAACAGGAGGAACCTATTTCATTCTGCAAACTTTATTTTCTGGCAAAATGATTATTTGATTATTCGTCTGTTGAAATGACTGACAAAAAGTTCACTGTGAAGTCATTTAACATCTACACAGAGATTGTTTCATCAACAGGACAATGTAAGCATCCCTTATCAAGGTGTGTTTTTAGAGAATGTACCAATTTCATTTACAGGCCGTGGTGATGCTTCTTTCTTTTAGGAGTCAGTGGTCATAAGTGAGTGCTTCCTTTATCTTTTGTTAATTGGACAGTTACTGGGAAATGATCCTGAGTTTAAGACTGGGAGACAAGTACTGTCTTGTTTAATAATTAAACTTAATAAGTGGTGTGAACTCTCACCTAGGTTTTGTATTCAAAACTTAGCTTCAAAGTCTGAAGGGGTAAGGACTTCCTTATTCATAATGGCTTGGTAAGTGTCCAAGTACTAAGTATGCTTCTTGCTATGTCCTGATTTGTGCTCTTCTTTTGTAAGATGTTGTAATAGATGGCCAGGTGGTTAATGATCAACATACTTCTGTGTATTTGGAATACATGTATGCAATGAAAATATTTTTCATACAAAATTTTTAAGTCCAACTGAAGAAAATATTAGTGATTGTAGAGGACAACTGTCAATCCTTTAGTTTTTGGAGAATTTGGTGTCTGTTAGTATGCTGTCAAGTGTGTACTTCAGACACAGTTATTCAGTGCCATGCTTGTAATGTACTCCTGCAGAGATCTTAGGTATGGATCAGCAGGATATGTAGTATGGCAGATTCTAGAAGTGCGGAGAATGTGTTTTGAATGTACTGATTTTGAGTGAGCCCTGTGGTTAAGTGTGTGCAACCTGAATGTAGTTAAGTAATTTGTTCATGCAATTAACACACTCTAAAGTTTTTATAATCTTGACTTGCCTGAGTACTGGCTGCTATCTTCATCAGTAACTATTGTTGGCATTGATGGGAGTTGAAGTTTGCTTTGCAGGATAAGACTATGTACTTCTTCTGACCCAGGTCTTAGTCAACTCTCACTTGTGCAGCCGTGGAGATAAAGTGAGAGAAAACAAGTAGGAAGGACCTCTTATGAAGCCTAGTCACTTCAGATTATGCATGACATGAAGCTAGGCTTGGACTGGTCCACATTTTGTCTTTAAAATTGCCACTGCTCAACTGGACATTATATGTTAATATCCATTTCTATCATATATCTTATAATTTAATATTTTTTTCTTCCCATTGTTAATTTTACTCAGGAAAAGTGTATGTGGACTTTGCTGATCTATAGAAACTATTCTAAAAGCAGTTATTACCAACAGTTGTAAAGAGTTAGATTCGTATCCATCAAAATGACTTGAAATGGTGGAAGTCCCCTTGTTATGTGAAACCATGTGCCAGAGTTCTTTGCTGAACCTATTGCTGAGTTATAGTGCAGAAATATCTTTTCCTTTGGGCAATATAAGCAGAATAAACATAAGGGTTTAGCCAATAGGGACTTTATGCTTACTTTCAAATTTCCTTGTTGATAAGGAGGTTAATTTAAAACAAAATAATCTCCCCCCAAATCATAAAATGCATAGGCATTTAGCTTTATAGAATAAGAGCAACTGTTACAATTTAGATTTGCGGTATACAGCTTATGGGGAAAAGAGACATTTCAAAGTGCATTTCAGGTCTTCTGGACTGATTTACATTCCACGTGAAGTTGGTCCACTCCTAGCAGTATTTCCAGGGAGGTTAAAATTGACAGCTTGGCACATGTGTAAAGAACAGAATTGCTTACATTTCTGTCCTTTCCCTAGGCATGGACACTGTAACCGTCACTTACATTTCTGTCCTTTCCCTAGGCATGAACACTGTAACTGTCATTGAAACCTGTTTTTGTCTATTCTGTATGGTACTCCTATTTATCCTATACCTAGAGGCCTACGTGTTTGAAGACTTGGTATTGCTTCTTAATGCTTCTCTCGAGCTTTGTCAGCCTATTACATGAAAAACATGAAGTTATGGCATAGTTTGGTTATCTTGTTTTTTCCTCATTGTATCTGTATGATGTATATTGTATGTCAAACTGATGCATAACAGCTTAGAAGAAATCTGAATATTATGTGTAAATCCATTCTTCTGAATTATCATTTAGAAATTTTAGTGTTCCTGTTTATTGTTTTGCAGTGTGCCTAAATGATAGCAATTTTTCTGTTGTATTGGAAAAAGAACCTTGTTTGGGCAGAATTATTTTGTGAAATAAGCTTCTGAACCTGGTTCACTTATAAGAAGGGTTTACAGGAAAGTTTAAGAAGAGTTTAAACTCAACAGTGTTAAAAAAGATGGAGAGAAAAGTTGGTGGTTGTGCTCTGGAACACATAATGTATACATCATAAATTTGTACTAAGATACAATACATAGGATTTTGAGTGTTTGTGATGGACTGATAATTATCTGAAATGAGAGGGCTAGGAGGAGTTGGGAAATAGCAAGGAAGATAATGAATAAGTCTTATCTGAAGTTAGCAGGCAGTATTATGGCTTAATTCAAATTCTACCATACATGCAGAAAAATACAAAACACACAGCACAAACAAAAATATTCAGCAAGCAATGATGAAAATAATCAATTATTTACTGTTTTTTGTAATGTTAAAATATTTTACCAAGGCAAGTCGCAGTCAAAAGTAATGTGAGTTATTTTGAAAATGGAAATACATAAAGATGCATTTATACAGGTGCAAGACTAAATATTTTACATAACTGTATTTCAATGAGGAGATATACAGTAAGTGCACACTTGATAACACAAAGCAGGCAAAACTTAACGTTAGTTCCGTATACTGTTGTATAGTTCATGCACAGATCTTTCCCAAAGTAAAGAGGCTGTTCCAAATAATTCTTGCTGGGATGAAAAACAGGATGGGTTGCTGGTAAGGGTGTCAGCATGGTTGGGGATCAGTTATAGACATTACTTACTGTAATTTGTGATTGCCGTGGGAGAGGAGTGGCTGTTGGTGTGATAGTGATACTGCTGGTGATTTTATTGGTGGGCTTACTGGGTAGGCCATTAGCTAGTGCTGGAGTTCTGTTGTCTTGCACTGGATTACAAGGGCTGATGGGCTTGGAATTGGTGAGAGCTTGGACGTAAGGACTTCCTAAATGAATGTGGATTTTGTTATCCTCAGTAGTTATTACACTTGATCCTGTACTGTTAGATCTCTGAAACTGCCATGATGATTGCCTGTCTGGGGATACTCTAAAAACAGCATGCTTGGCTCCCATTTCCAAAGGCTCTGAGGAGAGTATTTGTTCCTGAGAACTTGAGCCAGGTAAAGCCAAAGGGGACATTGTTCTTTCAGGAGTTAAGGAACCACACGATTCAGGAGTTTGAGATCTTGCAAAAGTAGTCATAGTAATAGGAGAAATTACTTGCTCTGGGCTCATGTAACCTTCTCCTGCTTTTGATTTTACAGGTGTTAAGGAGGCGTTTTGAATAATGGTTATTCTTTGCTTTGGAGTGCCACAGTTGGGTATAACTGCCGTGCTTGTGTAGGAGTGAGAGCTTTCAGTGGTAGGACTAGTGATTTCAAGGGTTGCTGTGTTCTGTCCATGGTCTGGAGTTACTTTTATGTGAAGAGGTTGGCCAGGTGTATGGCTTAGCACTAGATCTCCAGTCTGTGCACAGTTTCCATTTTGCTTTGTATGTATCTTTCCATTTTGGGGATGGCTCTCTTTGGATTTCATCCAAGGGATCCATAACTTTTTGTTTACAGCATTTGCAATGGATGAGTTGCTTTTGAAAGACACTGTTTGTTCCTCCTCATTGTTGTCTTTGTCCTCATTATCACTGTCTTCGTAGAGCTGCCCATTTATGACCGTTCGCTCTAAAGGCATGAGGGTTTTGTAATCAGGTGGTTCATTGTCTGCTGGATCTGTCTGGACTTCTTTAGAGAAAACTTGCGTGTCAGAAATTCTCCTTCCGTTGAGGCCAGGCCTGAAGTTCTTGCTGAAGCCTCTGTACCTCTCCAAGTCTTTCATGAGGCTTTCCATTTCTCTTGCTAAGTCCCTGTTTTTGTTTTCTTGCTGGAGGAGTTTCTTCTGTAAGAGTGTATGGTCACCTCGGAGGTGACAGATTAGCTCTTCTGTTGCCATGTATTCATGAATTTTCTCTTTCAGTGCATCTACTTCTCTGGAAAGATGACTTGACTTCGCTTCTTCTTCTTTGAGCTTCTTAAAAAGGCGCTGCTCCTGATTGGACTCTGCCTTTTCTGTTAATTTATACCTAGCCAATTCCATTTTCACAGCCTCCAGCTCCTCCGATAGGAGCTTGGCTCTGTCCCGTTCATTGACGTATTTTCGTTCTAGAGACTCAAATTCATCTTCAGTTTTCATAAGATCATCTTCTATGGCCTTCATTTCTTTGAGCTTCTGTTTAAGCCTCTCAACTTCTTGAGTAAGCTCTCTGATTTTATTGTTTTCCTGCTGCAAGGAAGTGCTAGATTTAGTGCCCTCCTTAACTTTATTTTTAAGAAGCTCTTTTTCAACATCTTCCAGTGACTGAAGTTTTTTGCTTAGAGTATTCACTTTGGAGACAAGATCACTTCCTTTCTCCTCTTCTGCTTTGAGTTTGTTTTTCAGTTCATCCCTTTCTTTCATAACGCTGGACACTTTTTCTTCTGCATCAGATTTTGATTTCAGTGCCTTTTTACTTTCCTCAATTAGTTTTTCTGTAACTGACATCACTTTATTTTGTTCCACCTGAAGCTGAGAAGTTGCAACTTGCAGCTTTTCTTCTGTTTGCTTTATTTTTTCACCCATAGTTTTTCTTTCATCCACAAGCATCACTGTTAGACTCTTCAGCTTTGTTAAATCTTCTTTAAGTGTAAACTCAGTTTTTTCTAACTTGCTTTCAATTGCTTCAAGCTCACCAACTCTAGCTTTTAAGCCATCTAGATCATGAGACAACTGCTTTGTTAGTATTTTTTCTCTTTCTAGGTTGCATTTCAGGGAGTAACATTCCTGTTTACTCTTGTTGAAAGCATCTTCTAGTTTCTCCAGCTCCATAATTCTTTTGTTAAGTTTGTCAACTTCCCCTTTGAGGTTCTTGCTCTGCGATGCTTCTTTTTCCAACTTTCTGTTAAGTTCCCTGCACAGATCTTCCATTTTTATGAGCTCTTCATCTTTTCCTTCCAGCTCTAGCAGTCGCTTCCGTAGTTCTTCTACTTCATTCATAAGTGTGGAGTTCCCACAGTCTCCCTTATTTATCTTATCCCTTAGATCTTGGAGTTCTTCTTCTGCTTTTCGTAAAGATTTGTTGGTCTCTTCCAGCTCATCAATTTGTCGGCTGAGAGAAGTTAATTTTAACCGGAGCTGGCGATTCTGACTGTCTTCATTGGTTAGTTTGGCCATCATTGCTTCTTGGTCTTGGGAAATCTTACTGCTTTGGGCTTGAAGTTCAGTCTCCAGCCTGCTGGCTCTCTGTTTCTCTTCTTGAATTTTTGCTTCAGCAAAAGCCAGCTTCTCATGTGCTTGTTCTGCAGAAGTGGTTAATTCTTGAATTTTTTTACTTTGTTGGTTCAACTGCTCAGTGAGTCTTTGCTGTTCATCCACCACCATTAAAGCAAAGGATTTCAGTTTAGTCAGCTCTTCTTTCAATTTAGCTATTTTCTTGTTGTTTTCCTTCTCTTTTTTTGCCTGATATGCTGTTTCTTGTTCAAGAAGCTTTTTCAGTCTGTGGGAGGAAATAATATTGTATTTTGTAGCCATTTGAAAACACACTTGAACTATTACATTATCTCTGCCAGATATGCATGAACATCCACTTGTAAGTACAAGCAAACCTCTTGTTGTAGCATCCTTTGGAAGTGCCCACTGACTTCATGTAGTATTCATAAGTTTTTTTGTAATGGGCACTTCAATATTGTCACTTAGACTTAACAACTTTAATAATTATGTATATTTGATTACAATTTCGACTTCTGACAGGTATCAGTGCAACAAAACTACTTTGGTATTCTGCACTTATCTCAGCTGTTTGCTGAGGCTAGGTATGTGCATGCAGGTTTTGTTGTGTGTTATGCTTTCTTTTTAAAGAAATGTGATTATCACAGTGTTGGAGAAATTAAATCAGTGCAACCCTCAAGGGCAGGTGTAATTTACAGGATCATAAACCTCCTAACTTTGTTGCTTATAAACCATCCTGATGTTTCATAATTAAATCTTATGGATGTTCAACTATGTGAAGGAAATGTGGCCATACTAGGCAGTTAGTCAGGCTGCCTAATGTGGATTTCTAAGCAGCACATCAGAGCAAAATTAGGCTTCTGGGTAAGTCAGTCCTCAGTGAAAATGCAGGTCTTGTGACCTTTTATTGAACACACACACACCAATGCAGTCAGCAGATAAACAGGTTATCAGGTTGTGCCTTTTTGAGAAAGACCAAATATCTTCTTGTCTGTTAGGCTTGAATTTGGCCTTACATCCAAAGGTTACAGCTATGCTTAAGTGCAGTCCTGTCTTTGCGTGATCCTTCCAAGTTTTCATGATGGTTTTCCAAAATTAGTTTTACAGGTTTGTTCACACTCAGACTTTATCGAGATGCAACATACTTAATTTGCTAGAGAGACTTGGGATAAGGTTCTACATTTGTTTATATAAGATCCTAAGGAGCATCCAAATACCTCAAATACTTAGATTCTTTTGTAGATTTTTCTTTATCAAGGAGGTGTTAGTTTGGCTAAAGTATGATTAGGTCTGGCCAGCACATATGCCTCCTTTCAATTACATTTTTCCTACAGCCAACCTATAAGCATATTCTTGTATAAACAAAAATCTGAAAAGCTTTGGTTGAAGCACTAAAGTATTAGAATTTGCATGCTTCACTGTTCATATAGGTGGCACATATTTGATTGTGTAGATCATGTGAGGGAAATTACTTGTGTTGTCTGGACTGTCCTTGCACAAAATGACAGTTTCAGCACTGATTTGCTGAGGCCCCTTACTCTAGTTTTTTCCCCCTCTGAAGTATGATAACAACTGTCTAGAAGTTGCTGCTGAAACATAAGATTCCTGTTCTACATTTTTCTACGGTCACTATTGTGATGCCCTTGTCCAAGTGATGAGTCTTTACAGATTCCCACTGACAAATTCCTCTTGCAGCCATCCTTTTAGTTCAGGAAGAGCTTAGATTTTGGCCTCCTTTGCACAGCTCTTAATTAGCTGTTGACTGACTGGAGACATATATTTGTGGGTGATAGGCTGTCTCAGCAGCATTCCCTTTGGCAGCACTGCAGTTTTCCTGCACAGAGAGTGGAAGTCCTTGCCATTTTACAACTGTCCATTAGACTTATGTGATTTAAGGGTTATATTGTATAGACGTTCATGACTATCAAATTTCTTATAACATCTTTGTTTTTCTTTTAGTGCGGAAGTTGCACTATGTTGAATGGAATGAAATGCTTTATATGAAAAAATAGAATGGGAAGTAACCAGAAACAGAGCTGATGTCAAAGACTTGAAGCAGTCACAAATTCTTTACAGCTGTCAATTAACATAATGAGGAAAACAGGCATGAAAAAGTAGAAATGAAGAGGGAGAGGTTTGTGGAGTGAGTTTGAAGGAATGCTGCTGGTTGACAGAACAAATAAACGGGGAGAGGACTGCAGCATCTTCAAAGGCAGCTTTTTACTGTGTTGATGGTATATATACTTTTGTCAGCTTTTCAGTGCTACTTTCAGTTTGAATTCCTTTTAGTGTAATAAACCTCTCTTCCCTCCCCACCCTTGTCTCTGAATGCTTTAGTAGTGAAGTTCAATTGATGATTTACCGTTGCCATAGATATAAAACCATAACAGAAGCACAACTAACAATTTCATTTGGAATGAATTCAGTTTTTGTGTGTGCATGAAGTTAAGGCATATTCATACTGTTACTTGGACTTACTAGTAATTGATTTATTTTATCTTGCTTCACTGCAATTGATTTTTGTAAGGCAAATTTAGTCACTGATACCTAAGCTAATCAGTGTTTTACCCAACACTTCTGTATTAACTGGTTGATATCTCTCTGGCCAAATGAAACTAATGGTCCAGTGAGTTAAGTCCCTCAAATTGCTTTAGAAAGAAAGCTCTTAGGCTAAATAGTAACAAACAATTGTAATTTTCAGAGGGATGCTGTATAATTTATGATGCAAATAAGATAATTGTGCATAAATAATAAATAAGTTGACAGTCAAGTCAAGTCTGATCAAGGCTGCATTGCATGGACTATTTGAGCAAAAGTGCCTAAATTACTGGTACCTGGATTGTTGTCTAAACAGAGAAGGATTTTCAAGAGATTCTGTTTCTTTGGTCATGCCAAAAGACTTTGGGTATTTAAAAATGTTTCCTCCATTCAAAAGATAAAATGCAGTTTTACGTTTCAAACAGACTCACATGCAAATCCCCGAGATCTACTTCTTTAAAAAATGCTTCTATAAAATCACTAAGTTGAAGTTAAGAGCATAGTGCAAAAACTTTAAGTTAAAGGATTTTAACGTGTTTTCAAAAGGAAAAAAAAGGTATGTATTAATCATGATGTATTTTTTGATAGTGTCATTAAGCTTTTGCACTTGTTTTTGATAACTTTGTTTAGTCTTGTATTCACATACAGAAAATGCCCTCAACAGTTCTGAATAGATAGTGATTTCTTGGACAGAGTTGTGATTGATATTGCAAGAAGTCAACTGGGAGTCTTAATATTTACAGAAGAATTTTTCCTTGGCTGCTGAATTCCTGTTTCACGGTTCAGGAGGTCACAGCAACTGTGTCTGCACATATGAACTGAAGAGTGGAAGAGGACCGGGGGGGGGGGGCAGTTGGTGTTGTTTGCTTGCTTGTGTTCTTAAATTAATTGCTTAGCTTTGGCCAACTTTTTTTTGGAATGTGACTTCAGTGGGTCAGTGCTCAATCATTTGAATTAAGCAAATCTCATGCTTAATTGAAGAAGTGCTTTAACTATAATAACACTTAGTGACTTTTATGACAGCGTAAAAATACTTTGTGCTAACTTCATCCAAAATACTCTCTTCTTGAAGGAGAGTATCCAGACTTTTGGGAGAGCAATTTAACCAAAAACATGCAAAGGTCAAACAAGTTGGCTTAAATAAATAATAGTTTTTAAAAAAGAACAGGCACTTCCCTAGGCAATAAAATATTTTTGTCGTGTTCAGTGCCAGTTGAATTTCCTGATCATGTAATTTCATATTAGGCAAAGGTAGGTATATCATTTAGTCAAAGCTTTCACACATAATTCTAAGCAGTTGATTTCACAGGACTATAAGAGCTTTTTCTGAATTGAGGCCAGCAAAAACAGACATTGGAAATTGTTTAACTACCTAACAGTCATGTTCATAAGAAAAGAGTCAGGGCAGTGTCTTATTGCTTTTTCGTCAGAGCTTCTGTTATAAATTATTGCTTTACTGTGGTTTCATATCATACTTGTTTGCAATACCAGTCAACTGCCTCTTTATTTCCTGAAAGAAATTATATTTCTCAGCTCCCCTCTGTTCATTGTAATTGCTTTCCTCAGTGTGCATGCTATTGCTTCTTGGGGTTAATGCCATGTGTTCAGAAAGGTGTACAGCTTCAGCTACACTACATTACATTTGGCCACATAATGACTGTGTGTTCTCTACAAGATTTGGAGACTCCCATAACAATTCACTGTCCTGGTGTCATGTGATAACATTTTGTATTTAAGTGGGTTTTTCTGTTTTCTTGGAGTGACCTGGATTACATCAATGTTGATTAATTCACATTTCACCCGATTCTAAAGGGATGGCTTTTCTTTTGAGTTTCAGGGAAACCAAAGAAAGCATGGGAGACTGAGATTGCAAGACTCTTATTTTAAAAGTTTTTTAGTTTGTTCTAGAATGAATCATTATTCTTTGAATAATAAAATTAGAAATTATTTTTTTCTTTAAACAATCTTGTAATGATAACTTCAGAAAAGGCTGCATTCTCTAAGGATGCAAGTGAAGTAGGTGATGGTTTCTAAAGCTCTGCTTTTATCATTCCTTCCTCCAAAGTATTGAGGAGTTTTTAATATACACATTGTCAATTTTTGTATCAGATCATCCTGCAGAAATCCATCTCCTTTTTAACTTCTGTGATTTTTAAAATTTTTTAAATTATAAAGGTATATATTTTTACTAGCTCATGCTCTTCACCTTTTCCCAGATAAAAGACATGGCTTCGCAGAGGTTCTACAGGTTATAACATGAGGGAAACTTGCTTCTAAAGTTTTTAGACATATGCTCAAATTTCCCCCACTACAATGCAAATAAAAGCACTAGGCTGAAAGCTTTTAAATGTAGATGAAGTCATGCTTCTTCCTTTGGGGCATTCTTCCCAGTTAGCAATAAGGCATGGTCTGGCCTTTAATAAGAGAAGAAACAGCTTCATCATTTCTGGTAAATCTTACAAGTTGTTGTAATTTTTTGACACCAGTGCAGTTAAATATTTAGTTTTGTAAGAAATCCAGTCTGTGCCTTCCACAGATTTTTGCAACAAAATTTGGGTTTGTTAAAGTGTTTCTAGTCTTGTAGTGGCTATGGTTTTTTTTTATTTTTATATTTTTTATTTTCCTTTGCCTGCAGTTCCTCTTATTTATGTGCAGTTTTTATGAAGACATATGTTACAGCTATTTTTATGGCCCTCCATTATCTTTATTAAAGCTTCTTTTTCCCTGTCA